AATGGTACAGTTTTCAAACTTTCTTTAAATTAGTTGACGTGGTGCAATTTTCAAACTTTCTTTAAATTAGTTGACGTGGTTTAACACCATAAACAAGATAGATTTTAAATGTCACATGTGTAGCGAATTCAATTTGGAATAACTTAGAGAATATTTAACTTAGAGGATCCAAATCCTATATCATGAATCAATAATATCCCAAAAGAACAATGATTAGTATTTTAACTTCAAATGGCACGTGTCGTATCTTGAATAGTTGGATTGCTTTTCGGTGTCCGATAGTCTATATTCAAGCCTTATATCCTTCCCTTCTCTCAATCTACTAGCCCTTTAGTTCTTAACATTCTTCCTAAGAAAAATAAAAATAAAAAGAAGTTCAAATGATTGTGTGTATATAGTTTGTGGAAGCAAAATTTTCGATTAATGGATCTAAAAATATCAATCCCGTACATTATTTTCATCGATTCAATAAAAACATATCTTAAATGATTCAATTTAAGGAACACTTTAAGAATTTATTTTTCAGATTTTAGTTAATGTTTTGCCTCCTACAAATTGACCCGACTCTTTTTGAGTTTCCTATCAACAAAATTCATGAATAGGAAGGTGGTGTCCTTTTAAAATTCAATTCAAAAGTTATATGTATAAATATCAACGGACATTGCCTAACGATACCAGGTTCTTACTTCTTAAAGGAAATAAAAGGTTCGAACTTCAGTGTAGACATGTGTGTGTGAGTACCAAATAGAAAGGATCTTATACAGATAAAAATAAAAATTAATTTAAACAGACTTACAGAAAACTTTCTTTATTGAGCTTCCAAAAGAAAATTGGTATCAGAGCCATATGTTGGCTTAATTCCCTATTGTTAATGCTTATTAGGTACTGGTAGTATGATTATTATTGTATTTATGTAATAAATAATAAGACTACTTTTCTGTCTAAATTATGTTTAATCCAGATTCAATTATGGGTCGTCCAAAAGTCGCGTTGGAATGTTTAACCCGCTTTTTGCATTAAATTGCTACACAGGGTATTGTTTCCAGTAAATCGTTGACAGACGAGTAATAGAATCTCTCTTAAGCAGAACGATGACAGAATAGTAACTTACTATTCATTATATAATATTATAATACTTATACTATGCAGACCTTAAAGCATTAACAATATTTAACAGACATGTTAAAACCATCTTCCTCCTCTTTAGGAGTACAAGAAAATCAGGGTTCAGAATTGGTAAAAAATACTGAATTAGTGGAATGGACCAATGTTCAAAATAAATTGAATAAATGGACCATCCATCCAGTAAGTGCTAAGAGCATTTACAAAATCGGAATGCTTAATGTCACTGATCTATGGGCTGTCAAGACCATGGAACAGACCATGCAATTAAGCAATCAAGACACAATAATTAAATTATTGTCTTCCCGTGACCTTCAGAGGCACATGCACAAATATAAGTACATCCATATAGGTTTAATTCAAATTGCTTTTAAACCTTTAACCTTGCTAGGGATGGATGCTTGTATTCAAGCAACCCTTCGGGATGCTAGATGTCTGAAATTTCACCCTTCTTTAATGGGTGCATTGGAAACCAGTCTATGTCATGGACCGGTTTATTTTAATGTCTATCCTAGTCTAAATTTATCTTTAACAGATAAAAATATTCATGAGGCAGTTAGTCTTCGTGTTCAGACCTATGGGTATGATTATTTACCTGGATCGAAAGTGATAAGTGTTATTTATCGCATCCATTACAAAGTACTTGATACTTTGTGTCCAAATGCCATACGCAAAGACTCTAAAGGAGTAACAACGTTATGGGATACCAATATGTTCACATCAAATGTTGCCACAAAAAGGATGATTCCTTGGAGTGAAATAACATTTCCTGAACATTGGACAATTTCTAATGCAGTACCGGCAAAGCCCATTGCTAATCATAACTTGGATTGCGTTATTCAGGACCAGGATGGTGATGTTTTTCTAAATTTCAGAAAATCAGTAGATCTCCCCAGATCTACATCATCTAAAGGAAGTCATCTTCCTTATCATATTTCTTGTCCTCCTTCTCGCCATTCGATTTCGTCGGATTACAGAAAGGAAGATCTCCCTCCTGAAGTAGTTGGTTCCAATCAACTCAAGCTGAAAGGAATACAGCAATCTCCGAATCAAATTCCAAGAGTAGTCTACGAGAAAGCACCAATAGGTATGTCTCGTCGCCAATTTGGAATTGAATTCAGCCCAACTCCATCAGAAATGGGAATCGGAAATGAATCTGTCAAGGATCAATTCGAAGATCCTACAGATATAAAAACTAATATTCATGAGGGTCATTTATATCTGTAGGATCTTCGAATTGATCCTTGACAGATTCATTTCCGATTCCCATTTCTGATGGAGTTGGGCTGAATTCAATTCCAAATTGGCGACGAGACATACCTATTGGTGCTTTCTCGTAGACTCCTCTTGGAATTTGATTCGGAGATTGCTGTATTCCTTTCAGCTTGAGTTGATTGGAACCAACTACTTCAGGAGGGAGATCTTCCTTTCTGTAATCCGACGAAATCGAATGGCGAGAAGGAGGACAAGAAATATGATAAGGAAGATGACTTCCTTTAGATGATGTAGATCTGGGGAGATCTACTGATTTTCTGAAATTTAGAAAAACATCACCATCCTGGTCCTGAATAACGCAATCCAAGTTATGATTAGCAATGGGCTTTGCCGGTACTGCATTAGAAATTGTCCAATGTTCAGGAAATGTTATTTCACTCCAAGGAATCATCCTTTTTGTGGCAACATTTGATGTGAACATATTGGTATCCCATAACGTTGTTACTCCTTTAGAGTCTTTGCGTATGGCATTTGGACACAAAGTATCAAGTACTTTGTAATGGATGCGATAAATAACACTTATCACTTTCGATCCAGGTAAATAATCATACCCATAGGTCTGAACACGAAGACTAACTGCCTCATGAATATTTTTATCTGTTAAAGATAAATTTAGACTAGGATAGACATTAAAATAAACCGGTCCATGACATAGACTGGTTTCCAATGCACCCATTAAAGAAGGGTGAAATTTCAGACATCTAGCATCCCGAAGGGTTGCTTGAATACAAGCATCCATCCCTAGCAAGGTTAAAGGTTTAAAAGCAATTTGAATTAAACCTATATGGATGTACTTATATTTGTGCATGTGCCTCTGAAGGTCACGGGAAGACAATAATTTAATTATTGTGTCTTGATTGCTTAATTGCATGGTCTGTTCCATGGTCTTGACAGCCCATAGATCAGTGACATTAAGCATTCCGATTTTGTAAATGCTCTTAGCACTTACTGGATGAATGGTCCATTTATTCAATTTATTTTGAACATTGGTCCATTCCACTAATTCAGTATTTTTTACCAATTCTGAATCTTGGTTTTCCTGTACTCCTAAAGAGGAGGAAGATGGTTTTAACATGTCTGTTAAATATTGTTAATGCTTTAAGGTCTGCATAGTATAAGTATTATAATATTATATAATGAATAGTAAGTTACTATTCTGTCATCGTTCTGCTTAAGAGAGATTCTATTACTCGTCTGTCAACGATTTACTGGAAACAATACCCTGTGCAGCAATTTAATGCAAAAAACGGGTTAAACATTCCAACGCGACTTTTGGACGACCCATAATTGAATCTGGATTAAATATAATTTAGACAGAAAAGTAGTCTTATTATTTATTACATAAATACAATAATAATCATATTACCCGTACCTAATAAGCATTAATAATTATACATGTGTATGTGAGTACCAAATAGGACCAAAAAAAATATAGTTATATGTATAAATCTTAATCACGTACATTATTTTCATCAAATCAATAAGTATACATATTAAATGATTCAATTCACCAAAACACTTTTATGAATTTATTTTTTAGATTTCAGTGAGCACCGCAAATGTTTTGTCTCCTACTCATTCACGCGGGCTATCTTTTGAGTTTCCTCTCAACAAATGTCATGAACCAGAATGTGTCCCTTTTTAGTTCATTTCATACCATCTAATTTTCATGTTATATATATATATTTTCAAATTATATCTCGAGAATCCTATATTCCATGAGATCTTAAGCGGCTATAATTACAAATTTCTAGTTAATTCATTTTATTTCATATTTATCCCCTTTTATAATTAGGGATATAAGTCCATAATTACAACTATGTCCACCGACATATTTACCAAAAACCAAAAAAAATTTACAAGAGGAATAATTAATTCATTTCGCTATAACCTTTTTATTTTTTTTTAAACTTAAAAGAAAAGTTAAATGAATGTCAATACCATTTTATTTTTTAAGATTATAATTATTTATTCATATTGTGTTAGCTATCCATTTTTTTTTTTTGAAGAAAGAAACCCACCCAACTCTTCAATACACTAGAAACCCATGTTCTTAATTTATTGCTGTAGTTAACTTCAAGAAATGTTATGAACTTCTAAATATTTTATAGGTAGACGTAAATAATTCTGTGGAGCCATGTTGTCAAATATAATTCATATGTCAAAAGTTGTAAAAGCAAAAAAAATTCCGTAGAGGTATTATATTAAAAAATGCTAAAAAAAAAATAAATTAAAAACGTGCAAAGCGTTTTCCGGAAAATTATATATAAGAATTTTATAAAATTTAGTGACAGAAAGAAAGAAAATAAAAACTTGTAATTTTTGAACTTATGTTAATGAATTGAATTGTGAATTGTTGTAGGGGAGTAATCATACTTTTGTAAATAATTGTTTGTTAAAAAATTATTAAAATTTTTTTTATAATAATAAAACAAAAACTAGACTACTTCAAAGTGTATTTTTTATTTTTATAATAATAAAAAATAGGCTACCAAATCAAACATCTTCATTCAAAGTGTATTTTTTTTGGTGAGATAAGTTTGTGGATACACATACTTGCTAATTATTATAGAAAAATGAGCATAATGCAAGTAAAAACAAAATTCAGCACAATATATAGATTGTATACATCATTTGAAGATTTCAACCATCTCATTACACAATCAATCCTACACAAATTTCGGCAACAAAAACATAGTCATACTTAATATTCTCTCTATAAACTCAAATTAGCACAACTCTTATATAATATATACAAAAAACCACACATATTTAAGACACTATTATTAGCAAAGTTTTATCATGCACTGGAATACTAGTTACTACTGTGGGCTTGTGGCTTTGAATCCCCCAACGTTGGCTACATGGAACTGAGATGCATACTTGTAGGTAGGTCGACCTTCGGATCCAATCACGGGAGGTTCATTCAAAAATGCCGAGGTTGTTCTACCCCACCTGCATTCACAAATATAATAGTGTTTGAGTTCTGTTAGAGACAATATTATGAAATACTCGCACCGTTGCTTGAACTTTCAATAAATAAATAAATAAATAAAATTTAAAAATTATTAAGCTCATGTATGTAAAGGGTGGGTTTATTATCTACCAGCTACGTTGCTTTATTAGATCTTCCAAACTTTTTTCGGGTTCATTGTCCATAAAAGTCTCCTTTGTCTTGGTTGGAGGCAGAGAGCTTGATCTCTCTATCTTTACCTCGGCTTCCTTAATTACCCTTTGCTGTTAAAAAAAATTAACAGATCATAGTTAATTTATTTCACTACATTAATAGGAGGATATATATATATATATATATATATATATATATGACATGTGACATAAATTAAACCCGATTGTCATATGGTAGATCATAGTCAACTTTGAGATGTTCCTCCTCAGAGTTCTTCTTCTGTTTCCAATAAGCCTCAATTTCTCCTTTGGTTAGTGACAAGTTCCTCTGAAATTTCACTAAAATTTTACACTCCTAATTAGAAAACACTTGAACAAAAAAAACACACACACAAACATATAGTGTATTATACCAAATTAAAAAAAGGGTTTATAAGAATAGTTACCAGTTTTAGGATCAGAGACATGTGAGTCCCAACCAGCCATTAGAGAGCCCATTTGCTTGATAACCTTGTTGTTTCTTAGATCAAATACAGAGAAGTGAAATGAAATAATTGCCAGTTTATTCTAATGTGTGACCTATTATCTTTTATAGTACTAGATATAAAATATTCTAGTTGATGGTGGTGGGTGGGCCATAGCAAGTCTTGATCTTATCCCGTGGAAGATAAGTTTGAAAATGGGTTTTTTTTTCCCAGGCTTAGTATTTATTATTATTTGTTATGAATGGAATTTCCAAAAGCCCACAGATTTATATACAAGCCGACAAGAAATGAATATGAATCAAAGGCGTTGATGATGTATCTATCTCGTACGTGTACAAGATGTTTTTATCTATGCCCATTTCTGGATGACAACAGATCTGTCATTTTGAATTGGACAATATTTTCTTACCGACTAATATGGTCTAGTCGCATAATTTGTGATTATAAAATAAGCAAAGTAATATATAAAAAAATAAAAAGAGATGATTAAATTTATTTTGAAAAAATTTATTGTCCTTATTAGATCATGTTTGTATTTATGATTACATAACATTAATAATTAATAATGAGGTGCTAATTGCAATCGCGTAAGTTACTGTCTCTTTTCATTCTCGATTAGGATTTGTTAGTTTTAAATACATTAATTACTTGAGTTTCTATTTTTATAGGACTTAACAAACATTACTTTTTTAAGACAAAAATACACTTTTAAATTATCTATTCTGAAAAAGGAAAAAAATATAAATAGGATAATTTATTTAGATGGATGGATTCTAAAAAAAATAAAAGGAAGGAGAAAAAAAATCCGAAAAGATTCAAAAGAATAAAAAGAACGGTAAAAAAAAAAAAAGAAGAAGAATCTATTCTGAGATCGATTACATAAATTTTCTTACACCTATCCTTGAGTGAATGAATTCTTTCTTATTCTATTTTTTTGTCTCCTATATATATATATATATGCATATATGTGTGTGTGTGTGTGTTTTTTTTTTTGTTTTTTTTTTTTATTTATACAACTATCCTTATAAATGGATTTAAAAATAAAAAATAAAAAAAAGAAATAATTCATTCATCAAGGATAGTTGTATAAAGAAATATATATGTATATAAAACTAATTTTGTATTTTATTTTTTAAAATCTCAGAATCTTATTTTTTTTATTTTTTTATTTTTGGATTTTTTTTCTAACTCTTTTTTTTCCCCTCAGAATTCATCTCCCGTGAATGGATTATCCTATCTAACTTTTTTTTTTTTTTTTTTTTTTCCCCTTTTTCAGCATCCATTCACATAACATTAGCTATTATACACACACACACACACACACATTCCCATGTGGATCGATTAAAAGAACAGATAAGAAGAAATGCTAGATAATTTAAAAGGGTACCCTGATTTCGGAATACAGGTTGATCAAATTTGCGCACAAAAGCGGATATCAAAACAATTAACATATTTCAAACAAGCAGCGAATATCAAAACAGTTAAAGTATTTCAAACAAGTACAGATTACAAAATGAAATAAAATAATAAATAATACGCTGAAAATTAATACTTCTCCAAAATTACAACTCGGAAATCCTGTAATGCAAGGACTTCAAAAATACATTATCTAATAATCCTGTCAACTATAAATAAAAATAAGTTTATCATCCTACTTTGAAACAAAATAAAAGAGTAAATAAACAAAAAGCAATGTTTGTAGAAACCCATGAAAATAAAAACTCAAGTAATTAATGAATTTAAAACTAATCAATCCTAATAGCGACCGTTGTGAATGAACCGTCTTCACAATCGCTTGCACAATTACAATTAGCACTCCTCATTAATAATAATGACTCATTCACCGATGAGTAGACAAGTATGAATTTGATGATTTACGTTTTATAAATTTGTTATTCATACGTTTCGTTACAAATTTTTTTAAAATAAATAATAATAATAATAACAGTATTCTTTTTTATTTAATTGCTGAGCGGGGGCTGGTTATGCCACTTTTATTATTTAGTAAAAAAACACTAGCCAAGTATAATTAAATTGAGTTGATAAATAAATTGTCCTAACTTTTAAATTATAAGAAAGTGAATATTAATATATTAAATACACTTTACGCAAAGTAATAAAGGTCTTAAAAATATTAAATTACGTATTAAATTTTTAATTATTTTATCATATTCATTCCAAACTCATTTAGGAATTACCAATTTACCCCGGCATGAGTGAAGTGGGACGAAAACTCGCGAATAGGAGAAAATTGTCATCCCAATAACCAATAAGGTTTAGGCACGTCCAAAAGCTCATGGCACTAGAGCACATGTAAATGATCGCTCACTTAAGGAGTGTTTAAAATAATAGGAGAGTTTGGATCCAAGGTGGTGGTTTTCTAGATTAAGGATGGGGTCCAAAAAAGCAAAGCCCACTTGTTTGCTTCATTAAATAAATATGTCCGGCCAGAGATTATGGTATTCCAATATCGCATATCCCTCTCAAGTCAATTCATCAAATGCCGTCACCTATCCAACATTTGAAGTTAAAAAATAATAAGGTAAAGTACGACTACACTCTTTGAGGTTTGGCAAAAGAATATTCAGAGGGAATTTATTTATTTTTTTAGATAAAGACACTCCTTGAAGGTTAAAAAATAGACAAAGACACCCATTTACATGAAAAATTGACCAAATTACCCTTTGACAGTTTAGGAGACTTTTTAACTTTACAATTTAATAAATTGGACCAATCTACCCTCATGAATAATTTATGCATAAAAAAAGGTAAAAAAAAAACTTTATATTGTTCACTGTTTTTTTTTTTTTTTTTGTTATTTACTTTATAAATGTCTCAACTTCTTAAAAATGTAAACGTCTAAAATGATTTTTTGATGTAATACATATATTTCAAATAAATTATATTTTGTTATTACTTCTTTTATTTTTCTTTTTTATTTTTAAATTAAGATGTTTAATTCTTTCATCTAAAAAAATTAAACCAATCTCTTTTCCTTAAAAATTAAAAATATGGTACTAGTATAACTTTATGGATCTTAAATTATATATCAAATATTATGCATTTCCCAATATAAAAGAAAATAGGTATTAATATAACTTTATGCATGTCTTTATTTTTTTTTTATTTTTTTTTTCTTGGCTTTATTTATTTATTTATTTTCTCTTTTATGTTGTATATTTGATATATAATTTAAGATATATAAAGTTATACTGGTATCATAATTTTTATTTTTAAGGAAAAGAGATTGGTTTAATTTTTTTAGATGAAAGAATTAAACATCTTAATTTAAAAATAAAAAAGAAAAAGAAAAGAAGTAATAACAAAATATAATTTATTTGAAATATATGTATTAGATCAAAAAATTATTTTTGATGTTTACATTTTTAAGAAGTTGGGACATTTATAAAATAAATAACAAAAAAAAAAGTGAACAATATAAAGTTTTTTTATTTTTTTGGTTACTTTTTTTTTTTTTTGCATAAATTGTTCATGAGGGTAGATTGGTCCAATTTATTAAATTGTAAAATTAAAAAAGTCTCCTAAACGGTTAAAGGGTAATTTGGTCAATTTCTCATGTAAAGGGATGTCTTTGTCTATTTTTGAATCTTCATGGGTGTCTTTGTTTAAAAAATAGGTAAGTTTTATTTGAGTGTCCTTTTGTTAAATATCAGGTGTGTGGCTATATTTTACCCAAAATAATAAAAATATAATAAATAAAGAAAGAAAAGTCCAAGCGTGAATTGGACATATTAGACGTGCCATGCTTTGGATAAATTTAAAATATTTTAGTGTCCATATAATTTTGGTTATTGCTATATAGCTGTAAAAGCAATTGGGATAACTATTCACGACAAGGACTCCCTTTGATATTATCAATACTATTTTCGCAATAACTTTTGTTTTGTTTTTGTTTTTTTTTGAAAATTTAAGAGGTTGATCATGTGTATTACAAATTTACAAGATGCTATGACAAATAAAAGTAATGGTATTAGGCCTACTTGTTTGACCGAGTAATGCTATTTAGATGTCTTAAAAGTGAGTTGGGTATATTTTAATGTATCTAAAAGTTACTCTTTTTATCCTAAAATAGTTAGATATTTTGAAAACTGTTATTTTCTCCGTCCTAAAATAATTAGGTGTTTTGTGAAGTACCCAACTATTTTGGAACGGAAGAAATATATAAGTGATTCAGTCAGACTATTGAACCTGACTATTCTTACTTTGAAAGATTAAAATTATAAAGATAATTGTCAATTTAACTCACGTGTCGATTGTGGAACGAAAATTCTTTGAATTTTTGAATCGAACAATGATTGTAACAACAATTCGAAGAAAATTATGCCGAAACTTTACAAAATTATTATGAAGCTATCCGACTAGAAATTGATCCATGATCAAAATTATATGCTCTATAACATAGGCTTTATCCACACTGGTAAATGGACTCTTGGAGAATTTGCATCTTCTTACTAAAAAAAAAGTACTAGCATAGTTTTAGATGCAAATACTGGGCCTACATGCAACCTTACTTTTTTTTTTTTTGCTGTACATGCAACCCCACTTGAGCCCTCAAATGTGAGCCCAAACAAGTTAGATCTCGGGCTGTTTAAATCCTCTGCAGACCTATATACTTCATTTTTCAATAAAGCTACAGAGGGTATTATGGGCCTATAATTTTTTTTTGGGTTCATACTTCAACAAGGCTAGTATTTTTTTTTTTTGTGTGAAAATTTATTATTTAATTTACTTTTATCAGTCTTAAATGCGAGAAGTCAAGAACTAAATCACAGAAATAATAAATTTAATAAAAAGGTCAAAAACAAAGAGATGGTGATTTATTATTGGCCCGCATTACTAGTGAAGATGGTGTAAATTTTCACTGGTGAGGACTTGAGTATTAGTCAAAAACAAATGTGAGCAAGATTTTTACTACCAACAAAATGATTGCTCAAAATAATAATAATAATAATACTAATAAAAAATAGAACTTCCTCATTACCACTCATACCCACAGAGTGAGCTAAAATTTGAGCAAAAGTTTTCAATCCAAATGCTTTTGATTCGTTAACATAAACAAAAATTAAAACCGTGAAAATTCTAAGCTATCTTTTTATGATTAAGTCAGTTATCTTTTTAAATTATTTAATTTGAAATAAATTATATATGTCGTCATATTATAAGGATCGTGTTTCTTATCCAACTACACCAAGATTTCTTCCTTAAAATCGAAAAAAATTGCTCGTTTTGCTTTTAGTTTTATTTATTTATTTATTTTGCCCTATTAAAATAGACCGAACATCTAAAAATTATCAGAACTAAAAACTAGGCTAAAACTTCATCATCATCATCTAGTGATTCAAATTCACACCACGTAACACAGCAAGTGTAATGTTAGCCTGTTGAAGTACGTGGTGGGGGCTAAAAAGGTGGGATGTGGATGGAAGATGGTCAACTCTCAATTTCTGTGATCAAACATTTGGTGAGTAGGGACTTCAAGTGTAGGTGGTACATGTCATGGGAACACACTTAGCTGGCATTCCCTTCTAAGATGTGATGTAAAATTGCAGCAATCCAAAAATGCTTTGTTAAAGTTGCAGCAATCCAAAAATGCTTTGTTAAAGTTGCAGCAATCCAAAAATGCTTTGTTAAAGTAGGATTATGGCTACCCGGTCTTGTCCTCATTGTAAGTTGCCCGTCGAACAACAATGTGTGTATTCACACATGCATGTACAATAATGTGATGCTTGGTAGTACAGTTAAGTGCATTTAATAATACAATTTGAATATTATTGAAAATGATTAATTTTATTTAAAATGTAATAAAATTTTAAATGATATAGGCAACAATTATCACTGAATATTTAACGCTTAATATTCGAAAAGAAATTAAAAAAATTCACATCAACTCAACTTAAAGTCTCAAACCTATAATGTCCGGTCTGAAGTGGTCTAGTGTTACAAGGGGGCTTGTTCCAATATCGGATTCGAATGGGAAAATTATTGGGTATATACGGGTGAAGTGTTAGTACCACCTAATGATATAAGTTTTTTTGATTAGATTGCTAAATACCTGTCTCGTTATAGTTGGTATTAGTGCAAGATCCAATCATTGATCTGGTATCAAGCCAAGCACCTACTTAGGAGGTGTTTGGGTTAGTAATCGGATAGGCGAGGCGTCGCAAGTTCATGAATGAAAAAATAATTTAGTACATATGAGTTGGGTATTTCAAAAAAAAAAAAATTCAAGCTGTGCAGCTTGTGAGGCCAAATGATTGTAATCCAATTGGTTCGGATAGAACCCAAATCTTTATTTCAGCAGTACGAGTAGGTGCATTTTTAAGTAAAAAAACGGAAAAAAAAAAACACAGAAAGAGAGTATTACATCATGGTGGTGGTAGTTCACCGATTCAATTGATTTGAAGTGCAGTTATCAATTGAAGAAACCCGTTGTATGTTGAGAGAAAAGCAATGCGAAAATCATTCAACACCAAGTGAAGTGCAATTTGTGTTAAGGAATAACATTTAATATTGGCTTAGGCCGAAGTTCCTTATATTTTATTTATTAGTACTTATTAATTTATTATTTTTATTTGTATGTTTAATATTTAAGCTGAATATTAACTAATTAATTAATTTAAAGCCTATTATTAATTATATATCCATAAGTATATTAGAAATATTTTCTAACATATTACACATTATATACTTTTATTTGTGTTTTTTTTTTTTATTATTTTTAATTGGCAAGAAAATCATGAACTCATTTGCCCTTATGGAGATTTGAACCCCCACTTTTCACTTTGAGAGATAGAAGAGATACTAATTGACTAACAGCCTAATAAGTGTTTTGCTCGAGACGGATTTCGATTTGGAGGTCCCCCGAGTTAATTTTGCCCATTATGACTCCTCGCCCGCACGATCAAGCACCTCAACGTGCAACATGCTTCTTCCTCTAGGTCTAGGTCTAACTATCCATAATAAGAATATTATTATTCCAAGCTAGGAAAATTGATTAACTCATCTTATTCCTCCTGCTGTAATACCTTTTATATGCTTAACTTTGGAGCTCATTCTTTCAGTTAAAAAGTTGAAAGCATTAACCTTTGATCTATTAGCTCAAATTTAAGGATTTTTCGTCATCTTTCCAATGATACCAATTTCATTATCAGATTCCCATCATACTAGGAGATATTTACGTTTTAGTGAGTTCAAACTTTCTTGCATGCATCACCACAGAGGCACATACACAAGTGTCCCACCCCCGAGGTACACAGGGTAATAATTATTCAGAAATCATTATTTCATTAAAACACCAACTGATCCGTATTCAGTTGCTCATAATTATGCAATCAAAAAGGGAAAAGGACAAAATAGAGAAAAGTGAATAGTGTCGAAAAACGAAAAATGTGGAAATGACTCAGTCCTCAAAGGAAGTTGTTAATCCAAAGGAAAGAGTCTTAGAAACCATTTCCGAGCACTCAAGACGACACTAAGCGAAGAGAAACTGAACTCAGAAAAGAAATTTCAACGAAAAAAATTCATCCCTAAAATTATGAGGAAAAAGGAAAGGAAGGAAATGACTGGGTCATTACAACCTACCCTCCTTAAAGAGATTTCGTTTAGTATTTGTGACTTAGGATGGTAATGTAGTTCAATTGTTGTAAAATATTCTTACTTTATGTATAAATTGCATATTGAGGACATGACATGTCATATGCTATTTAGACTTGAATTGTAGGACATGGTTTGTGTGGAATTAACCTTATGCATGAAATGTGGTAACTTGCATGAATCCAAGTTTGGGGAGACCTCTTTTCTACATCTTTGATATTTGTGTGCTTAATATGTTAAATAAAATATAAATAAAATACAAGTTTACTGTTACGTGGAATTATGACTGCAAATAAATAGGGTCGAGCGGAATTTCAATCTATTCAAGGCGTAGTCCATCTGTTTGTGGTCTCAAATTGATATTATCTCGGGACATGATAAGATCAAAAGGTTAGACTTGACTCATATCATTATAATTTGTAAGATCTCAACTTGTCTTATTTAGTAAATAATCTCAGTTTGATATAATTTTCGTATTCAAACTGAGTTTGAGTTCGTGTTAAATATATATTGGTCGATACAATATTGATAGAAGTAACAAATTGCAAACCTGTAAAATGTTACAGTATATTTAAATACAACCAACTAGAAATAAACGTTTATTAGACTAATATATGTTCATAAACTATACAAATTTACAAGAGCTAATCAATTTATAGTCTTAGTGGTGTTATAAAAAATAAAAAATAAATTAAAAAACTATAGTTTAGTGGTCCAATCTAGTAAGTGTTCCAAAACTTCACACGTGTGCAACAAGAGGTCTAAGTCACACACAAAGACCCTGCCTTTAACGGACGAAATTAAAGATGCAGTTTCGACGAGTCCCAAATACATAGCGACAGAGTTGGGTTGAGGCTGGGGATCGATAAAAGGCTGTGGCGGAGAGGTGGTGGCGGAGAAGCGGAGGCAGTGGCGGCGATTGTCGTCGGAATATATGCAAAGCATACCCTAGTTTTTTGGAATATGCTCGGCATTTTTCTCGTTTTGGCCTCCGGTTCTCTGATCTAAGCTTTTCTTTTCCACCGAGACATCGAAAACGTTAAACAATTACCTATATTCTTCGGCCACTTCGCTTTTGTCGACAATCGGTGCTTTGATCCCTCTGCATTTTTGATCTCTCATCGGTTTTGCTTCTGGGAGACATTGGAACGTGAAAGGTTTTGCCTTCGTGTTGCAATTTCGATCTCAAATTCACCGATTCATTGTCACATGACCGGTACTTGAAACTTTTTGTGCTACTTTTTAACCTTCTGTTTGGTTACTGAGAAAATGAGGAAGAAATAAATGAAAATGGAAGTTATTTGAATCTTTTGTTGCTTTACGTTGTTTTAATTTCCACAAATGGAAATTTAGCCTGACCTTAACCGAGATTCAAATTTTAAATTGTTTCTTCAGCAATATATCTTATTTGATTTATGAATTTTCTTGTAAAACTGTTGAAGGGGAAAAAAAAATTGGAATCTTGATTCATTTGTTTCAGAAACTCAGGTAGGCACATGAGAATTTGTATAAATGTTCAGATGTTGTCTGTAATTAGATCTGTTAAAACTACGAGTTATGTGTCAATTCAATTGAATTATTTGTTTTCACTTTATTAGGTTGAAATAGATTGAAAAGGAAAAACTGTTTGTTCCATAGTAATGCCGTTCAAAGGCATAATCGGGGAGCTGAAAAGGATTGGGAACAAATCGAGAACAAGAAGGCAATCCGAGAGGAAGTATAGGTCACATATAGCCCCGGAAAGGTCTCCATCTCCAGCTGCATTGGTTCAACAGAGCCAGTGGGCGAATTTGCCTCCCGAGTTGCTTCATGACATTATACAGAGGGTAGAAGACAGCGAGACCTCTTGGCCCGCCCGGCAGAGCGTGGTGGCTTGTGCAGCGGCTTGCAGGTCGTGGAGGGAAGCAACACTGGAGGTTGTTAGGACTCCTGAGCAATGTGGTTTGCTCACTTTTCCCATCTCATTGAAGCAGGTGGTTCTTGTTCCTTTTTTTTTTTTTTTTTTTCAATTCTTTTACTTACTGTAATTGTGTTTTTATGTGTTTTATTTATTTATTTATTCTTTAATTATTTGATTTCTATCAGCCGGGACCGAGAGATTTTCCAATTCAGTGCTTTATAAAAAGGGATAGAGCAACTTCAACTTACCGGTTGTATCTTGGTTTGACTCCCGGTAAGTAATGCTATTTTTGCTTGATTGATTATTAATGCTTGAAAATTGAAATGTTTGCATATTTAGAGGAGAGCAAAGCTTTGAAATAGCAGTTCTATATTTTATTGCGGACGTGCTACTCTTTATTGTTGAGAACCATTCATTTATAATTCCCTTGTTCATGAATTTTAGCGTTGTTACTTGTTAGGCTTCTTTTTACCCTCTTATTATTAGATCCATCTGTACCACAGTTTGAGTAGCTATGTTGTACTATGCACTATTTTGTACCTTTAGGTGTGATGCTTTCTGAATCTTGTGTTCAAAAGCAATAGTGGGTGGGAAATTCTAGCATAACCTAGTTTTTGAGAGCATTTATATTTGTTTGATTTCTTCCTCTTAAAATATCACATCATTGAAGAGTATGCTACTAGCTGGTTACAGTGTTGTTAAAGGCGCGCGCTTAGGCGCCAGGCTCATACAGGTGCAGCACTTGCTCCTGTTGTGTGCCAAGGTGCACCATTGACAACATTTGCACCTTAAATGTGGAATATGAATATGCTTTAATGGTAATTTAATTTTTCAATTGTGCGCCTCGCTTCACTCAGGCGCACGCCTCGACTTGCTCCTAAGCTCCAAAGGACCTCTAGCGCCTTAGTTCGCCTCAGGCCTTTGATAACACTTGCTGGTTAAATATATTATATACTCATGATTTTGATCTAATTTCAGCATTGGCAGGTGATGCCAGTAAATTAATTTTGGCAGCTAGAAAGATCAGAAGGACAACAAAGTCAGAATTTTTGATATCCTTGGCCACGGATGATTTTTCTCAATCTAGCAATAATTATGTTGGGAAATTAAGGTTTAACTCTACAACCCATTCCTTCTTTTTCTCATCATTGGATTTCTTTTCACACAATTAATAGGCAACATTCGAAACAGGTCTAATTTCCTTGGCACCAAGTTTGTTATGTATGACAACCAGCCTCCACATGACCATGCAATCCAAGTCAATGGTCAATTGCATCAAAAAAGACAATCAAAGATGGTATCTTCAGGTAAATCAGTTCACAACTACAATGTGGCTACCATAACTTATGAGCTGAATGTTCTTCGCACTAGAGGACCAAGAAGATTGCAGTGCGCCATGCACTCAATCCCCATCTCTGCGATTCAGGAAGGGGGCACTGCCCCTACACCATTAACCTTTGGGAATTGCCTTGATAAGCAATTTTCTAGCACACCAATGTTGAAGGGAAAAAAAGAAACCTGTCGAGCCAGCACTAAAGATCCAGTGATCCTGAAAAATAAAGCTCCTAGATGGCATGAGCAGTTGCAGTGTTGGTGCCTTAACTTCAAAGGGCGAGTGACAGTGGCCTCTGTTAAAAATTTTCAGTTGGTGGCAGCTGCTGATCCATGGCAAGATGTTTCAGCGGCAGAACAAGATAAAGTACTACTACAATTTGGAAAGATAGGGAAAGACATTTTTACCATGGATTTTCGCTACCCGCTCTCTGCCTTCCAAGCCTTTGCGATCTGTTTAAGCACCTTTGGCACTAAACCGGTGTGTGAATAACCATATTCAATACCTTTGATGAGCCATGATACGTATTTGCTTTGCTAAAGTTAGTTGTGCATATATTCTCTCAAAGAAGTTTTTTACTTTGCTATTCACTGTCAGTGCCTTTGAGGTGCAAGCATAAGTTTATGTAATGGCAGTGACCACAAAATGTGTTTTAAGTTGCAAGATCTATTTAAACTGCAGTATATATAACCTCATTCCTTCTGGAGATTTTATGTTTAGAATTGAAGGAGCTCGGAGTCTTGGTCACAGAAATATTTCTAAATAGTATTTTGAATTCTTTTATATTTCAATTTTGATTATGGAATTCAAATCATAATATAAAGGATCCTTTTTTTTTAGCAAATGTTAAATGATTTAAAAAAGATGGAATAATATTTTTGTGGATAATGCATCATCCATATTATGGATTTATTTTAAACAGTGTTATCATTATGTGCACAAATATTTCATATCTGCCCGCATGCAAATATTATGAATTTATTGTAATTTTCTTGGTTTAGAGAAGATATCGTTATCTTTACTCTTCTTCCTGCAGCTATAGCAGCAACAACCATGAAAGACTTTTCAGGATTGTGTGGGTCAAAGTCACTTGGTTCCATGAAAAGGCCTTTGAGGCATCTTCTTTTGACTATGAGCTTGCTTCTGAGTAAGATTCTCACCAGGATTAATTATGAATTTAGCACTGCACCTCTCGTCGTATTCTGTTCTATTATTTGACTTGATGGGTTCTGTTAGATTGCAAGAGAGAACCAACTGACACCAGGATTCCTTTCAGCAACGGAACTATTGAACAGAATTGAATTATCGCTACTCTGTATATTACTGTTTTTATATGCATTTGTTGGCTGATTTTTGGTTTTGGATCTACTGACCTAATACCTCAATCAGAGGTCGCTTCGGTGTTCTAGTCCTGGTGATCTTGTAGTCCCTGTGAATGAGGATCACCCCTTCTCTTTTTGCCAACTCAGCTCCTAGTTGCCTGGATGCTCCTCTATTCTCATCCATAGGATGCTTCGTGTGCCCAGTCTGACGGAAAAATTTAGACATTGTTCCTGATATTTTCGTGCAGGAAGTGTTCTCTCTGTTGGACATAATGGCCTTGTTGGATATAACACCTGCTTCTCGTCCAAGATCACTGAGACCTGGGGCTAATCCTGAATGCTGAATGGCAGCCTTTTAGCTGGAGATGCTGTAATGGGCTGGGTTTCTGGAGTTGTGATGGGGATCTCAGTAGAGGTTTTTGTTTCTGTTGTAGGGCTAGAAGCTGGTGTTGCTGTCAGCAAGAAATCTGAAAGTGAAATGTCTGCCTTTGTATTCTGCCATAAACGATATAGAGAAATAACCTTGTGGAAGAAGTAGATGATGATAAGATGATACTCACTGATGATTTCTTCTGTATCAAGGATGCCAAAGCCCCTGGGCCTGATGGTTGGAATGCTGGTTTCATCAAAAAGACTTGGGATATAGTTGGTGAGGACATTATCCAAGGAATAAAGTCATTCTTCACCTCTGGGCAGCTCATAAAAGAGATTAATCCTGCTTCTATCACTCTTGTTCCAATGTCCCAAACCCAACCAAAATTTCAGATTTTCAGGCCCATATCGTGCTGTAACACTATTTATAAGGCCATTGCTAAAATAATTGTTAAAAGGATCAAACCTATCCTGAACAACTGCATCTCTCCTTGCCAAACAGATTTCATATCTGGAAGGAAGATTGCTGACTCCATCCTAATTGCCCAGGAGCTGTTTAAGAACTATCACAGAAGCTATGGCCCTGCTAGGTGTGCTCTCAGAGTCGACATCAAGAAAACGTATGACACCATAGATTGGCAGATTTTTCCCCTGATTCTGAAACACATGAGCTTCCCAACTAAATTTATTCACAGGATCGGCTCCTGCATCGCCTCAACTTCCTTATCCATCAGCATCAATGGGGAACTCACTGGTTTTTTCGAAGGGAAGATCACTGACTTCAGAATATTCTCCAATGTTTATACTGATGGGGTCAGTATTCAAAAAAGGATCCGGTACAATATTAGGTGCAGATTTCTTGATTGTCCAAACAGGTGGCTTTGCTCGGAATGGAGCATACTCCGGAGTCCCATCAATTCCTTTCCTTATGGTTAGTTTGACCTTCTGTTTTCGCTTTGCCTGGTCCTTTCTTCAGTTGCTAGCCTCTGATAGTTACCTTCTGCTGGTGGTTCTTTGTGTCATGGAGGGGTTCCTTCATGGGTTGTTTAGTTTATGGAGCTACAAACCTAGATGTGCTTTTTCTTTTGCTGACTTTGCTAGCAAGTATAGTTACTTTTCTGGTGTTAGGATTTGTATATTTGGCTGTCTATACTGTCACTATTGTAAAGACTAACCTCTTGAAAAGTTTTACATCTTTGTAAAGGGTGGTATGCTGCCCTAGAGTGATGTAATTAGTTCTTTCATCAATGAAATTTTACCTACCAAAAAAAAAAAATGTTACAAGAGGATTGCCATAACTGGGTTATTATTGTTTGATGCCTTGGAGAGCCTTTGGGATTCTTGTATACTCGTCTTCTTACATTTTATTGATTGCTTCTTTGGGACAACTTTTGTTTCCAGATATGTGGGCTTCTCTAAACAGGTTTTCCTTCATTGGAAGGTCTAGCATCTCATTCCAGTTGTATTTAGGTTTTCACTGTTGTCCGATGTGGTCCGAGTTTTCTGGGTAGATGTTTGGCTGTTGCGTTGAACTTGCTCCAATGGGAGCAACTATGTGGGCTTTTCTGCAGAAGGCATTCCAAGCATCTACTTTGCATGAAGGTAACTTATATTGCATAGTTACTATATCCACACCATACATGCCAGTTAAGCATCTTCTTGTTGCTCTCTCTTTAATATAAAATCTTTTGAAATATATATTATATATATGTATATGTATATGTCAATAAAATTGTATAGTAGATACCAAATTTATGATGAGAGAAATAGTATCTTGGAGTCCATCCATACCCTGCATCAGTTTGCCCTACATAGGGATGAAGAGGTTGAACAAGTATGGAATTCAAGATAGCTGCCTTTCCACATCAAACCCACCAAGAGAAGCAACTTACAATAAAAAGCAAAGTGATCAACAAAATTCCTTTGGTCAGCCTAGTTATTCAAGAAAAGAACACAACAAAGTATGTCTTAACAAGTAAGCGATGAGAGGCAAGAAATCTTCTGCCTCCTTTGAATTGCCACTGATGGGGACCGGTCCATATTTTCACCATCAAGGGAGCTTCCATTCTGTTCAAAGTTCAACCTCTCTCTGCTTGCAAGGTATGACACAATGTTAATCTTCCACTTCTTTTCTCTCTTTTTTGTTCGTCATTTTCACTTGAACTTCACCGTATTCAGATCCATGTGCATACTGCATTCTTCATATAGAATTAACATTCTTGCAGTCCAGGAAAAAATCGGTGCCATGTATGCAAATTGTGTTCTGATCAGTGATCCACGTCTTGCTCTTCCCATTTGCTAATACTTCAAGAACACTGCCATTATATGTGATAATTACAATGTTACATGCCTGATCACACAGCCTTGGGGCCTTTATTTTTCTTTTCCAAAGCTACCAAAATATAAAACCAAATTTACTTGCGACCATTGATTCTTTCTCCTATGTTTGTTTCTGCTTTCAGATATTAGCTAACCTGTTTAGATTGCAACTCAAACGTGCAGAACAATACATATGATCCACACAGTTCTATAGAAGCTTAAATCAAATATAAAAACATGACTTACAGATTTAACACAAATCACTTTAATTTCAATCAGCAGGGCCAAAATGCAGGGACTTGGCAGAGCATTACGGTCTTGCCAGGAGTCACTGAAGCTTGCAGTTCTAAGGCACTCACCTACGGGGGATACAGCTGAGATGAAAAAAGTTTTCTCACGCTGTGGATGTGTCACCTCCTCTACTGGTATGCAGCAGAAGGGATTGGAGAATACATCAGTTGCAGAAGTATTGATGACAAAGGGAGAAGAGAAGGTCGGGTCATGGCTCTATTGTCATACCAATGACACTGTCCATGATGCTGTGAAGCATGTATGTTTCTACTACACTTCAAACATGTATATAGAGAATTTCCTTACTGAATTCAATTTAACTCTCATTCACGATCACGATGACAATTCATTGCAGATGGCACAAAATAATGTTGGATCTTTAGTGGTTCTAAGACCAGGAGATCAAAACCTTATTGCAGGAATCATCACAGAAAGAGGTAATGATCATCAGAACATTAGTTTTAAAACTTTTCTGCGGAAAATAAATAAAATCTAGGTTCAGATATCATTTGCAATCTATACAAGCATGAAATTTAGTAATCCTCTCAATCTTTAGGTGAATTAAAGGGCATTAACATTTTTACAAGATCATATCAACTGAATTGCACCTTAAAAACTAACATTGGATTGCAATAAAAGAACTATGAAATGAAGTTATTATGCTAATTGTTGATGGTGGAATGGATGAAAAACAGACTATCTACGGAAGGTAGTCGCGCAGGATAGATCATCTAAATACACAAACGTCGGGGAAATCATGACTCAGCAGGTTATTTTTGTGCATTTATGATCTTTAGAACAGATGCTGTTATCTCTCTCTCTAACTTTGCCTTGGTACTTGTTTTTACATCCACAGAACAAGCTGATAACAGTGACATCAGATACAAACATTCTTCAGGCAATGCAGCTCATGACAGGTATATTGATGTAACACTCATAATACATGTTGTAAAAATGACACTAATAATTATGAATTAGGGGGTCAAGTATTCGTTCATTTTTTTGCAAGAAAAACGACGGAAACGAAATAATGGATCTCTTAATGTTGGCAGATAATCATATTCGACACATGCCAGTGATCGATGGAAGGATTGTAGGCATGATTTCTATTGTAGATGTCGTTCGAGCAGTGGTGGAGCTGCAGAGTGGGGAAGTGAAGCGACTGAACGAGTTCATTAAGGGGGAATACTATTAAGATACTAATAGAATTTGAACGAGTTTTTCATTGAGGTTCGAACCCTTAATCTCCTTTGGGAAGTAGGAATTTGGTACCGCTTGGTTACAGGCCTGCTATTGTATTACAATAAATATATTCAAGTTATGTTTGGGAGTAGTGATTCCGTACTGTGAAATTGGAATGAGAATGAAAAAAAAATTTAGTTCAAAATAAGTTGAGGCTTAAATATCTAAAATTAAGAATAAAAGTGAAGGAACAGCATTTCAATTATATATATAACCAATGTTTGATCAGTGCGGAAATTTTTTTACAATATTATTATCCAGATTCGGTTACAGGCATCCTATGCTAGATTTCTCCCCTATGGACTCGACTCGACTAAAAGAGAACCTCTTTTTAGTTCAATAATAATAATTATTATTAACTACGAGTCGACGTGGAGGAATGGTGGTCATTAGTTGTCTGATTCCGAATTATTTGAGGTGGATTACATGAATTATGATCCGCTTAGTTTGATACAGAAAGCAGTCTAAAGTTAAGGGCATATATATATATATACATATAATTTTTTTAGGAATTTGAATAGGGCAAAAAAAAAAAAAAGAAAAAAAAATGAAAGAAGGAGAGAAAATAACTTTTCATAACCAGATTTTCCAAATAATATAATAATAACAATTTTGCATTGGGAAATTTTAGGCCACTTAGAAAATAGTTTTTATTTTTTTCAAGAGAACTGAAAATTAAAAAATTGTACAAAAACTCTATTCAGTTCAGATTATTGAAAGCTGTTTTAAAATTTTTAATTACATGAAAGTTTTCGAAAATTAATTTTTAAGTGACAAATCAAACGAGACCCTTACATTCTTGAGAAACTATGTTTGAATTTATAATTATGTCGATTCATTTTATTTTTTTATAAATAAAATGGATTATGATCATAGAGACTTAATACTGATCTTCTCCTATTTGGGATTGGACTGACTATATATATATATTTTTTCTTTTTCTTTTTTTCCTTCACAAGAAACCTACTTTCATTCGAACCCTTAGTCTTCACTTTTTTATTTTTTCGATTATATTTTTTCGATTATAATGGTGTAGAGGAGCATCCATTGGAAAAATTTTGTGAGTGAAAAAGATAAAATAATAAGCACAACATAACATAGTTAAACAATGTTTAATTGGCATTTTCAAATAAAGTACACTAAATTGGATGCTGAGATGATGTAAATAAAGAAGAATCTTATATTCCAACAAGAATTACACCCAACCCAAAACCAAAAGAACCAACTTACTTCTCCCTTAGGAGACACCAAAGCTAATAACCTTAATTTTACTCCATAAAAGATGAAACATATCTAATATCTCTCCCTCTCAAAGCTATTAATGCCCTTAATTTGACTCCTAAAAAGATGGAACATATCTAATCTTTTCGAATCTAACCATGAATACATCATTCAATTTCATGTTCACCCTTTGAAAAGGCATATTTTCAACAAAATTCTACAAACTCCATTGGTTGATGCATGAACCTCATCTCATTCAAATATCTCCTTATCTCTCGGAACATTCCATCAACAAAAGAATTTTTTCACTTCTTTTCCCACGTAGATTCAATGGCTACACATCTTTCTACCATTTTTCCTTTATGCCCTTGATGCCCAAAAGATTCCCTCCTTGTGTGGTTCTCAAGCTTTTGCTACCACATGATTGGACCATCCATAGGTGATGATGTACTCCAACTAGTTAGAAGTCAACATACTTTTTTGTTTGCTGCCGTGCAAAAATGAAAGAAAAAAAACTTTAATGACTCGGAAATATCATCTGCTAATTAAATAATGACACGTAATAGCAAGTGTAGCTTTAAAAACATCCAACATTTGAAAAAATAAGGTACGATTGTTTTAGGAGCGTCATCTCTACCCAAATAAGATTATTTTAGGAGCGTGATCTCTACTCACATAAAATAGTGGCGGCTGTATCATTTTCCTTGCTTTAATCATAGGGAAGGACCACAGTACATAGCCAAGGAACAGAGTTTAAGGGGAAAAGGCGGGGAACCATAGACCTAGCTTTGCCTGATCTGATGGAGTTGAGATGATAAGGATTCTAAATACCGAAGAATTGGTGTCCTTTTAATTAGATTCGTAGAGCATTTGTCTGAATATCAGCCATAAGCAGGGCCCTCCACATGCATATAATTGGCAGTTCTCCATGCCAAGGACTAAGCAACTTGTCTAACTTGGGCCATCCCCACTTCCATGTGAATAAATACTACTTCGATAAGATGAATATGTTATAGCCAGCTTGATTTACGTTGTTGGATCCATTTTCTAATAACTTAAGCTTTTAGAGTTGACGATAAGTAACATGGTATCAACCATTCAGTTATGACAAATCTTAACTTGGTTTGGTATTTTTGATCTTTGACGCGCAAGAAGGAATTGCACGTGAAGAAGGGTGTTAAGAGCTTGATATACATTGTTGGGCCATTCTCTAACAGCTTTGGAGTACATTGTGATTCGAACTGAAGAACGAGCAATTTCTCCTTTCATTTTTCAGTAGGCAGTCAAACTGATGTTCTCCAGGAAAAGGGAAAAGTATTGTCCTCGCATATCATGTATTGGAGGGAAATGATGGCCTCTATGCTGGAGGCTTGCATACTCCTAGGTGATCACTAGATGATCATCTGGATTCACTTTAAATGAAGTAAAAGGTACCATAAGCTAAAAAAGAAAATAAAAAAGGAATAACCGGGAAACAACAAGGCAAAGAATTAACTCCTGAATTCCTTGAACAATATTTGAGCCAGCTCAATTCTCTCAATTGAGAAGAGTTTCCGCAGTAAATGGTGTACCATGTTCAAATTGGGGAGTAGTAAAATTAATTTGGCGAAAAAAGTGTCGACTCAATGAGTTCATAATTCATGCTTACAATGTTTTTATAATGGAACAAAGGAATATTAGGCATGAATATGGATCATGTTCCACTATAGGAAGAACATGCATAGTCCACATTGTGGATGGTTTCAACCGGCACTATAGGTATTGTGCACCTTTATCTTATAATTTTTGTGTTAGGTTTTTTTGAAAGGTAAATTTTCAATTTCAATTTTTGTGCTAGTTGTTATGATCACATTAACATATTTATTCGGATCGATGATATTAGAAATATTTGAGGATAAAATAAGCAATCATTGTATCAAAGATATTAAAGAAATTCAACTCAGATATCTTAGCATGCCTAATATAAAAAATATTTATTTAAAAAATACATTCTTGTTTTTTTGGAGTTGAAAGTTAATAATTAGATTCTTATATTCAAGTTTTGTTAAAGTATCTTTTTTAATAGATAATATAGTCAGATGATAATGGTATTAGATTCAGTTTGTAGCCACTATCTCTTAAAAGAAATGAAGTACTAAAACTGTACCAATTTTTATTGTGAAACTTCAGCTGTATTGCTAAGGGAGCCACCATTTCCACTGCAAGTTTCTGAATGTTTTCAACATATATATATATATATATATATATATATATATATATATATATATATGTTCTAAGCATGATAAAAGATATGTCAAGGGAAATGGCATCAATAGGATGTTGCTGGCGGGAAACGACATCAATTAGAGGCAACCGAAGTTCCTTAACCAAAACACACTAATAGACACAGCATCGCCTAATACAGCAGCAATGCAGGATTTCAGACAACCAAAACTAAAGAAGGCTTTGAAATTGATGCCAACAAGAAGGACCGCTTAACTCTAGGGGGGTCTACCTAGGGACTCACTCACCCGAGGGTTGGGACTCATTCATCAATTAGAAGACCACTGACTATTTGAGGCTCAGAAGGCTCTCTCATAATGCAAAATAATCCAACCCTCCAAACTTCTTATTTTCTTTTCAGGCATTTCTATTTATAACAGACCTCCAAAGTAGAATTTAGAAACTAGCCGTTTAGAAGAAAAAAATTAAATAGATATCGAGTGTGATTCCATGATTTTCTTTTCGCAATATGCTCCTACAGCAGGAATGCTGCTCAGAAATGATACAACCACCATTTCAGAGTCCCTACCATCAATAAGGTGTAAGAATTCCTAATAATTTCACAGGACAAAATGCGAGAAAAAATAAAATATATTTTTATTTTTATTAATTTTTTTTTTTGGAGGGGGGTGGGGGGTGTTAAGGAGTTTTAGGGGGGGTTTGAGTCTTTCATGCTGAAGATATAGAAGGTGATACAAAACAATAAAGGATAAATTTGTATCATTCCTCTTTGATAAGTGCAGTACATGATCATCATGTTAAATTTTCAATTTCAGAAAAATGACATCCTGCTCCTTGGAAAATGCAAATTCATGTTGTGCCAAGTTGATGTAATAAGAAAGGCAAACAAATCCCAGAAAAAAGATGATGGAATACTTTAGTGTATTTTTAGGTTGATGTAAGAATTCATTTGGTTGGCGCATATATCTTAATCGGAAGGTTTAGAATTATGGGATCTAATCCCCTCCAGCTTGAAGAAAAATTCTAGGGAAATCCACTTGCTGATGATATTATAAAAGACGACAAAAGGACTAATCAAGCAATTCCTAAAGAGCTTGTCCTTCGACACTCTTCACTGATTCTCCTTCTAGGCTTCTACCCTTGCTTCATGTTGTGGTACCCATGAAAAAGAATCACATCTTGTTGCACTTTTCTCTCTAAAGTCTAAAAAAATATTGCCAACTTGCTCCACCCCAACACCTCCTCCTCCTATTTATACGGAGCTAGCATGCTAGTTTGTTTCCCATACCATCACCTTCACTTACCACCTCTTTGCTTTATTTCCTTTCGTTCTTTCTTTATTTTCCTTTGTGGATTCCTTCTCTTAAATTTTCGACTCAATTCGCCAAAACTCGGTTACATATTTGTTTTTCTCACTATCATCTACCTAGCCCTTGATATACACATAACTCTACAAAATTTCACTCAATTAAAGAGAAATGGCATCAAGCTCTACGACTTCTTCGCGTACTTCTGGTTCCTCCTGGACAACAAAGCAGAACAAGCAATTCGAAGACGCTCTGGCTTTATATGACAAGGACACCCCTGACCGCTGGCATAATGTGGCCAGGGCTGTGGGTGGGAAATCGGCGGAGGAAGTGAAGAGGCATTATGAAATCCTTGTGAGGGATATCATGCAGATAGAATCTGATCAAGTACCTTTACCCAATTACCGGGCCATTGGAAGCAACGGGAGAGGATTTGGTCATGAACAGAGGTACTGCTAACTCTCAATTCATCATCATCAATTTACAACAAATAACTTTCTTTTCATTTCAGATTCTTTTTGGAGTAAGTTATTCCATTCCCTCTCTTAGTAACTAACCAAAACAAACATACATAAATGCACTTCTTCTCTATTACACATATTTACTTCTGTAGTATATGATGATATATATGATTACCATTTCCTCCCAATAAATTTTTTTTTTTCTATACTTCCAAACCAACAAAAACATTAATCAAAATGGCCTGAAAACATGTCAATAAACAAAAATGGAGACATTATGTGTGAACATTTTTTTATTTATGGGATTAGATAGAAGCATCAAGAACCTATTATTTACTTTACCATTATAGTACTATGTGTCAGTTTTCCTTTCTATTTATGGTAGCTAAGGCCAAGACCAATCACTGAACCCTCTCGAAGACATATATATAATATTATTATATTGGATTTTTGTCATTTTTTATTATCAAGATCTATCATACAATATTGAACTTCCTAAAAGGAACCACATGAAATCTAATCCAACTAGTTTTAGATCACATGCACATGGTCCTATGCTTGAAAGCTCCGACCACCTCATTTCATAAGTTATAATTTAGCAGGTGTCTCTTGTCTTGATAAGGATACGGGTCCAATTTTTTATCCATTTTCTTACTAAGTCTGCACATTCCTTTGTAACCCTTCATTGATCCCTAGGCTTTGCTCATGAGAATGCTTCTCGGATCTATAATTGAAACTAAGAGCAATGATAGAGAGTCCAAATTCGGATTGCCAAAACATTTTCCTTAGAATAATTGTTGTTATACCAACAAGGTTTAGCTACGTTACCTAGGCACGAGTTATGAATGCCACTATATGCAAGAAAATAAAGTCAGATTCATTATTCAACCTATCTCATTTAAGCACAAAAATTATAAATCATTGAAAAGGAGATTTTGAAAGTTTGATTCACCATCATGAAATAAACTTGTGAATATGAAGTGTCTATTAGCTGGTCATGAAGAAGATAGCATCCCAGATAAAGGTGCAAGGTATAGTTGATGCCATGGGCCAATTCATATATATATATATATATATATATGCAATCTAATATTAATCTGTATTATAATATTTTGAATTGTCTTTAAGAACTAATGCTGCGTTTGTGTTACCATTTGTTTTTTTTTCTTTTTCCGTCAACAGGCTTCTGAAGAATCTAAAGCTCCAATGAAGCAAAAATTGCGCCTTTGTGGTGGGTGAATTTTATAAGAAAAGCATATGTATAAGAACTTAAGAATGTAAAATGGACAGTGTAAAAGTGGTTCTTGTATTCTCTTTTATCCTGTTCTCCTAGTGTATGTTGAATCTGTTCAATGAATGCAAAAAAATCAACTCGAATAACCATGTTATTAATCCCTTTCTAATGGTTTCTCAGATTAAAAGTTGTACTTGTATAATCTGTGCTTTTAAGTTTTATCTACTAGATCTAGATGCTTATATATACAAGGATTGGATAACCGAATCCAAGTACAAAATTGAAACAAGATGAACTTTTATCATCCGGTATCAAATTGAAAAAAATAAAAATAAAAATAAAATAAAATAATAATAATAATAATAATATGTGAATTCCTAAATTTCTTCTCTTATGTACCAATAGATTACAAATAAAATAATTAGGAGAGAAACCACCATAATGGAAAAGCAAGTTCTAAATAGGAGAAAGAAAATTGATATACAAGCTGACTCGACTTGTATATATAACATTGTTCATAGAGAAATAAACTCTTGGAAGGTTATAAATTAAATGAAGATTTGAAGACCATAAATCTAGAAAGGAAGATATATAATTAATAATTAAAGATGAATAAGATCATGTAATTTGATCACTACTGACCTGATTTATGATAAGCAAAACCATCTAGATTAATTGCTGAAAAAGTTGCAGAGCTGAAACATTGACAACATTAATTGTAAATTCGAGAAACGAGAGAATGAATAGACGAAGAGGAAAAAACTTACTTGGAGAGCAAGAATTCACACTATGTAGAATTGCAGTGAGAGGGAGCCAGAAATGTTAGGAAGCAATCTGAATGGTGGTTTTATGCTTGTATTCCACCTTCAACTCTCGGAAAGGCGGGAAAGTTTTGAGTCGGTTTGTTTGAGTAGAACCATAGAGATGGAGCAAAGATCCAAAACTTGAACTTTCAAATTTCGCGGGAATCAAAAACGATCCGGACTTGAACCCTAGACTTTTCATTAACCTAATAGGGTTGAATAATTGAGGAGTAGAGAGGTAAAATATTAAGAAATAATTGGTACGGTTGGAAATTTGGAATGGACTCATTTTTTTGTTTTCACAATGGGCTTTTGCAATGCAACGAATACAAACCATGCCACTTATTATTATTATTATTAGGACTAATTTCATAAAACTTCCATAATTTTTAAATTTTGATCATAAATCTTAAATGTGTTTCTGAAAATTTCTTACACTTTAAAAAGTGATCAAATTGTCATATTTATGTCCGCATTAACTGGACTGTAAAATGACAAATTTAATTTTATTATTTAATGTTAAATTTAAAAATAAAAATATATTTTTTAAATTACAAAAATACCCTTTAATTATCTTCTTCACCACCCCCTCTCAAACTCATCCCTCTCTAAATTATTTTTGTAATTTAAAAAATAATAATTTTTAGTTTAAAATTTAACATTAAATAGAAAGATAAAATTTGTGATTTCACAATTGGTTTAACGGGTCGGACACGAATATTGGGACAAGTTTATCACTTTTTAAAGTGTAAGAGATTTTTTGAAATAAGTTGAGAGTTTATAATTAAAATTTGAAAGTAGTCAAGGTCTTATGGAATTAGTCCTTATTATTATAATTATTTATTAGGATAAAGTGTAGGAAAAAAAAAAAAAAAAAAAAACTTTAATTATTATCCTTTTGCAAATAACCCCTTCCAACTACAAACTACAAATTATCACCTTAAACTATTGATATGTTGCAATTAAAGACAAATAATCGCAAAAGACTATCTTACTCTTTCTCATTAAATTTGTCATTTTTTATTAAATTATTTTTATTATCTTTCCTCATATCTAAATATTAATTACATTGTTTGCCTTAATTTTATTATCAGTATCAACTTATCATAAAAAAAGAAAAAAATAAAAAGATTTATAACTACATTTTTCTAAAATGATTAACTTATTAATTAAACTTTACTATTTATAATAAAATTTATTATACTTACTTTAAAAAAATTTAACATAAAAAATACCTTATTTTTCATACAATATATTGATGAAATATTAATAAATTACTTAAATAAATTTTTTTTCTATATTCATGAAAATTTAATAAATTACTTAAACTGATTTAAAATTTTGTATTTAAAGATATTTATTTATACAAATAATTAAAAAATTAAAGATAAATAAATGCAAATTTAATAGAGAATGTGTCATCAAATTAGTATGAATTTTTTTCATAATTTATTTCAATAAGAAAAACAGATTAAGTATAATTTAATAAGAATATGAATTGTGATCATTTAATGAAAAAATAATCTAGATATTGAGACATTTTGTAATAAAATAAAATTTATTACAGTATTTTACATGTGAAGTGAAAAATATGAGTTATTTTTGTTTTAGCTAAAAATAAAACGCATGTCAAACAGATCCTAAGATTTGAATCATAAATCGAAAGATTATACCAGAGGCTCGTGAATCTCACCAGTCAACCAAGTCCCACACTCACAACACACCTGTGAGGCCCACACAAATGTCCAGCTTGATTCGAACAAAATCATTTTCCAAAGATAAAATTAGATTCCTTTGTTTGTTTGTTATGGTATTAAAAGAAGATTGAGAAAGATACAAGGACCGATCTCCCATAATCAACAAGAAATATTTGGGAAATAAGAAAATACCAAAATGATGTGCTCTGACACTACAGGAATACAGGATAGAGGAACATAAAAGAAAAAGAGTGAGGAAAATGATATAAGAATATGAAGAGGAAAATATCACAGAGAGAAAATCCAAGGAAAAGTATATATATCTCAAAGATGAAGGATCATAAATAATAATAATAGAAACCATATATATATGCAAAAATCTAATGTAAAATAATATAAATCCTAAAATTAGGGAAGGATATTTGCACTCCCATCTTAAAAGAAAGGACACTTTACAAGTGAATGATTTTTTTTTTTTTTTTTTTTTTTTTTCAAATTAAACAATTATCCTTTTATATATAAAATGATTTTTTTGATCCCCTCTCTCCTTCCAATTTTTTTTTTTTTATGTTTTTGGCCTCTTTTGACAGATTGAGAAAAAAAAAAAAAAAGGTACCAAAAAAGAAAAAAGTTATTTCTATTGAATCAATTATTAAAACTTATACGTAGTATCTATGAATAAATTAAATAAAAAAAAGTTTTCTCCGTTCAATAAATTATCTCTTTAGATAGAACCTCAAAAAAAATGTACCAAAAAAAAGGACAAAAATAAAGTTTTCTGTGTTGAATAAATGATCTAATCTTTTGATCGGGATCCCAAAAAAAAAAAAAAGGAATTTAGTACACAAAAGGGGGAAAAAAAAAAAAAAATGGTAACTCATGAATAAATTATTTCTTTTGACAAAACCAAAAAAAACAAAAAAACCCAAAAAATGTTCTCTCTTGTTTGACAAGACTCCCAAAAAAAGTTTTCTAAAAATAGAAAACAAAAAATTTATAATTATTTCTTTTGACAGGACCTAATAAAGTACTAAAGGAAGTAAAGAACGTTTTTAAAAAAATAAAATTAAAGTTTATAGTATAAATGATAATTATGGTATTATATAATAAGGGATGATATATTAATTTTTTATTTTTTTTTTACAAAATGTATTAATAAGTTTAAGGACCTTCTTATTATTTTCTTTAAAAAAAAAAATAATAATAATAATAAGTTGATGCAATAATAGAAAAAAGGGAGTGCCAAAATCACGGCTTTTGTGGTGCCTAATCTCCATAAAACAAAACAGATGAAACCAAGAATTTTAAAAATGAACAATTGGTCATTAGCCCAGTGTATAAACTCTCCTTCTTCAATGGAGGGTGGAGGTTTCAAGCCCAGTATTGAAGAATTTGTGAAAAGTGTAACTGAGTATGTGTGCCTAGTTTGGTTGGAGGGAATAAAAAATGAATAAAAGGGAGAGGACTTATTCTTAGGCTAGGAAGCACGGACACTCCACCTAGGGTGTCGTGGCGGACACGACTAGAAGTGTCTTAAAATTAGAATATTTATTTTCTGATTGGACACGGCTGGGACACGTTTTGGACACTTATTGGACACCGCGGTGTTAATTTGTAATTATATTATTTCAAAGAATAAAATTCAATGCAATTTAAAATATATTATAAACTAACACGAAAAATAATATAAAATTTAAAATAACGAACATTGAATACAAAATTTCAAATTAGTGTTTTCATTTATGATTACGTGTTTAAAATCAATAAAAATGATTATTATTTTTATATATAATAAAATATTATATTATTATTTCTTGACGTATTCATGTCACAATATCCAATTATTTTGAGATTTGTTGTATCAATGTCTGTATCATGTCGTGCCTACATACAATGTCCATATCCGTGCTTCCTAGTCCTTAGAGAAGGAAAAATGTCTCATTTACTTTTTATTTAATTGAATGGAAGTGATAACAAAGAAGATTGATGGAGTGATAACTTGCTTTTGTTTGATCCAAAGGAATGAAATTAGAGTTTATTAAAACTTTTACCAAAATAACCTTATTAATTAAATTGATTTGCATTGTCCTCGTACTACTTTTTTTGAGCATGAAACATCCAAAAGAATTTATTCCCTCAGAACAATTTTGTGTTCGAAATAATCGAAACAATATGTGAAAAAAAATATCTAGAATCAAAATTTAAAAATCTATGTTCAAAATACCTAGACAATTATAGATTTTACTAGTTCCTTTTCAAGTTGTTCGTTCTTCAATATATTCATGACGACTGTATACTGGTAATGTGTTAGAGGGTTGGGACCTTGACAAGCCTCCTGACAACCATGGGATGCTGTCAGTGTGCACTGGGGGTGCTCAGTGGCATTTTTGTAAATATGGCGAAAAAGTGAAGTTTAGAGTTTTAACTCGGGATCTTTATGGGAGATACCTTAAATCCATAAAAGATGGTTGGTGCAGACGGCACTCGATTTGGATTTCGGGAAGGGTCTGAAAGGCCATTATGATTTCTCAAGCATATGTGATGTCTACTCTTGTCAGAGTACTGATTTTCCTTAGAACTATACTAGAGAGGGGTTGAGCACATCAGTTGGGCTATGGCATGGCTTGCTTAGAGGGCTTAGCTAATGTGCATGGG